CCCTTTCCCCGCCGCCCTGAAGACCGTGGCTGAGTCGCTTAAATGTGCTCCTCTCTTGCAACAGTGCCTTTGAACATGATGTTCTCTGGTGTAGTTCTCTGGATAACTTCATCTCTTTTCACCCCTGTATATGTTTCAAATCCCTGTGGCCATAGTCTCAGGAAAGTTTTTTCTGACCTCTTTCTTAGGTCAATCAATCCCTCTTTTTTGTCTCCGGATTGTCTCAAAAGAAACCGTACTTGGAATGGGCCAATCCTTTCATTAATAACTGTCTCCACTCCGTTTCAAATTCCTAAGTCATTTTTGTATACCACTTTATCCCCAGAGCCTGCTGTGAATAAGGACTCAAAACCCACTTTTCGGTCAGATGAGTGAGTGAGTGAGATAATGAACGGTGTGTGTAGGGCTGCTGTGGGGATTGGATGGCAATGTGGAGAGAGCCTAGCACCATGAAGCTCTAAAAAGGCAAAATGGATACTTTTAGTTAAATTGGGCTTGGTAGTTTTTGGGATTATTAGCAATTTTGTTGACATATTTAAAAAAAATAACTTTATTAAACACAATTTGATTATTTAAATGTATTTGTTTGCATTTGCACCCAAATAACACTGCAGAAATTTAGAATAAGTTCTTTTTGTGTTTTTGAGACAGGGTTTCTCTGTGTGATTTTGGAGCCTGCCCTGAATCTTGCTCTGTAGACCAGGCTGGCCTCGAACTCACAGAGATCCACCTGGCTTTGCCTCGCGAGTGCTGGGATTAAAGGCGTGTGTCACCACTGCCCAGCCTTAGAATAAGTTCTTATAACTTCCTTTTCTTTCTTTCTTTCTTTCTTTCTTTCTTTCTTTCTTTCTTTCTTTCTTTCTTTCTTTCTTTCTTTCCTTTCTTTCTTTCTTTCTTTCTCTCTTTCTTTCTTTCTCTCCTTCTTCTTCTTCTTCTTCTTCTTCTTCTTCTTCTTCTTCTTCTTCTTCTTCTTCTTCTTCTTCTTCTTCTTCTTCTTCTTCTTCTTTTCAAGATAGGGATTTTCTGTATAGCCCTGGCTGTCCTGGAACTCACTCTGGCCTAGAAGTCAGAGATCCTCCCACCTATGCTTCCTGGAGTGCTGGGTCTATAACTATTATTGATAAGATTTATCAATACTCAGTGTTTCTGTGGAATATTAACCATATATTGGCTTTTATTTTCACCCATGACCTTTTCAAAGTTTAAAAAAGCACTTTAGAGAAGAAAGAACCCACATCGATTAAATTATTGTTTCTGACAGAAATGTCTCATTGAGTTGTTTGCTTAGGTGCAATACACAAGCCTGAAATCACAGCTGCTAAGGTTGCTGAGGCAGGAGGCTAGCTCTGAAGGCCAGCCTGGAAGGAAGCAAGATAATATAAGCACCTTCTTGTCTGAGTGGCTGCAGTCCTTGGTACTGCCCTACACTGCATTTGGCTGCATGTTTTAGGACTGAGCCCTGTGTCTGAAATGTTATTAGACTTCCACCCTCTGTTAAAGGAAAATATATATTCATTTACAATAAGTTATGTGTAGGTATTTATTGTCACTAGAATGCATGAAATTTTATGGTTCCACATTATTTTAAGTTACTATGATTCTATAAAGGTGAATTTGCACATGACTTAGAATATTCATGCCTGTAATTATTGGGTTTGGAATTTTGCATTATACCACAGACATACTTCCCAGACTCCTGGAGAAAACATACACTAAGTATTCTCTACTATTTCAAATCAAAGTGGCATGGCCTTTTGGGGATGGGACCCCTGTCCTCAAAACCTTGGCTGGGGAGATGCTGGCTCCCTCTCTTTGTTCATCTATTTGTGGAATAAAAAAAAATGGCTTATGGGGGCTGGAGAGATGGCTCAAAGGTTAAGAGCATTGGTTGCTCTTCTAGAGATCCTGGTTTCAATTCCCATCAACCACATGGTGGCTCACAACCATTTGTAATGAAATCTGATGCCCTCTTCTGGGGTTCAGGCACACATGCAGACAGAACACTGTATACACAATGGATAAATAAATCTTTTTTATTTTTTGGTTTTTCGAGACAGGGTTTTTCTGTGTAGCTTTGTGCCTTTCCTGGAACTCGCATTGGAGACCAGGCTGGCCTTGAACTCATAGAGATCCGCCTGCCTCTGCCACCACTGCCCGGTAAATCTTTTTTTTTTTAAAAAAAAAAAAGAAAGAAAAAAGAAAAGAAAAAAGAAATAGCTTCTGATTGCAAGTAGACTGCAATCGAAGTGGAGAGATGAGAACCCAGTCATGAGGAAGCTACTCATTTTCAAGTCTGAGTTATTGCGACTCGAGGGTGTGTTGGCCCACCAAAATCAAGGTGGACCATGCTTATGTATCAAAGCCCCAGCAGATCTTTGAACCTTATTTTATAAGTCTCTGCCATTCTCTTACTTTGGTAGTATAAATGATTGCTGTTTCTTTAGTGTTACTATAAGAATCTGAAATGACTCCCCAGGCTCATGCTGGAACACATATTTCTCAGATGGTAGTCACATTTTGGGAGAGTGTGGAACCTTTAGAACCATGATTCTCAACTTTCCTAATGCCGTGGCCCTTCAGTACAGTTCCTCATATTGTGGTGACCCCTGACCATAAAAGTATTTTGTTCCAACTTCATAACTATAATTTTGCTACATTATGAATCATAATGTAAATATCTGATATGCAACCCTAAAGGGGTCTAAACCCACAGGTTGAGAACTACTGCTTTAGATGATGTGGCCTACCTGGCAGAAGTAGTCAGTGGGGGTGAGACCCCAGTTCTTGCCACTCTCTACTTCCTGGCCCCCTATGGGTGAACAGCTGTTCTCAACCATTGGCTAATCATGATGGACTGAAATCCTCTGAAACCCCAAGCTAAAGTAAATCTTTTCTGCATTGAGTAGTTCTGTGGCATATTCCGCCAGCAGCAACGTTAGTACCTAATACAACTACGAAAGTCAAACTCGCTGGGTGTACGAAG